ATGATTAATAAAGGTCGCGTGCAAGGGTCAAGAAAAGGATATCGGATGACAATAACAAACGGGATTGCTAGACAATATACAGGACAAGAATATAGTGCATTGAGTGCAGGGAACTAGAATAGGATTTAATAAAGTGATTTGTTTATACTGCTTGCGTGTCGTGATATATTACATTGCCATTGCAGTCTCAGTTAAGAAAACTTGCGCGCGTTTTGATTTACAAGTACTGTAGTTTTGTCTGATTTATCTTGCGTTTACTGCTTTCATTTCAATTATAAAGACAAGTATTTTAGAACCTGAGATGGAAAATCGGGAAATGGCTGTTAAATGCCCAACCTCAACTTTATCATATACATATAGGAATGCAAGATTTTGTGCATTCTATTCAAATTACGCACAACAACACAGACCAACAATACTTTATTCATTAAATTTCAATGGCAAACCGAAACGGAAATGTTTTATATTGATTACTGAAGGATGGAATTTATTTTATTAATACTGTCTGTGAGACGAGATACAGTATACACTACACAGCTGGACCTGAGCTGGTGTTTCATGAATATTTTTGCCAACTCGAATTTTATATTTGATTTTTAACCCATTAATTTAAGCTGCAATGTTCCCAAATATACCTTATTTTATTGTTTTATTCTGGCTAACGCAGACAATTTTTATCTAATTTGCCAAGGGGATCTTATACTGTAAACCTCCGACTATAAGCCCTGGGCTTATACAGGGTGTATCAAAATAAACGCAATTCATCTTTTGTGCTTAATAACTTTCGAAATACTATCTCTAGTTAAACGCTTTTAGGCTTACTTCAAAGCCTGTTCTTTTCTCTTTCAAACAAACTATTATCCTTGTCTCCAATGCTAGTAATTATTGCACAGGAAAAGATTTAGTAAAACCTATCATTTTTAGTTGCTGTTTAATTATGCAAGTTTACTATGTTATTGTTTAGTCGGTTTAAATGTTAGAATTTTCTTCTTTAAACTTTAATGTTGTCGTCACTACATCTGGAAAACCACGTAAGAACAAATTAAAAGTATTTTAAAAGAGACCAGGTTGTTTGAAAATCCTAAACGAATGCTAAAAATCGTCAAAACACTCTGGTGTCTGAGCCAGAGTGTCATCGAACTGCGATGTAATGTAAAAAGAAATTATAGCAAGTTGATGTCAGTCAGCTTAGATGGTCCAAGCCAAAATTTTGTCGCATTTGAAGTTTCAAACTGAGTTAAAAATAGTGGAAGAAAAGCCGTAATTATACTTATTGTTACAATCCATTTAATAAAATGCAACATTTTTTTGTTTTAATGAAAAAAATCAGTTATTTTCATGAGAACGATTTGTTATTCCATCTCAATTTTTTTAATCTCCAATCGCAATAACGTAAAGTATTATTACCCGCGAACCAATGAGTCAAATTTAAGAAACAACCCACTGTTAGACAGCTGAATGGCTACGCTTTAAAATGAATGTAAACTTTAACGTTTTCGTCTATTATTTGTTTAGCAATTTACATTTCAGTCGAGGATTGCGCTTTTTTTGATACACCCTGTATACTTTCGTAAGCGATTTTTGATGGGCTTATACAAGGGGGGGTTATATACGCGGTGGGGGGGCTAATACATGGATGATCTTTTGTGTTAGTAATAAACAAATCAGACATAAACAAGTCAGTCATAAACAGGAAAATATACATCCATTAATAACATGCTTTGATTAACATAACATATAGTCGGCTATAAAGACAATGACAATGTTTTTAAATATCGTTCTCTGCTATATTAAAAGACAATCAAAATGTTGAATAACGTAGTGGGCTACTGGGCTTATATTCGGGGACTTATATTTGGGGGGCTTATATTTGGGTGTGCTTATGTTGGGGGGGGGGCTTATATTTGGAATGAATTGAGCGTTAGTATATGTGGTGGGCTTATATTCGGGGTGGCTTATAGTCGGGGGGGGGGCTTATAGCCGGAGGTTTACGGTATAATGACAGAGATAATTTTACCTATCATTGGGCTATCAATGGGAGAGTCCTGAGTATTAATATTTAAGAGTGAAAATATTGATTATGATATAATGTTCACATTATAAAATCCCCAAACATAATTCTCTTTCTCGACCATGTCAAAAGATACACTAAACCTAATAAATTCTTATTGCAACAGATTCTCATTTTAAAGTAGAATAATTGCCACATGTAGCACTTGTTAAGGTGAGATAGCACATCTCTTATCCATCCAGGACAAATGACCCATTTGACACAGTTAATTAACACTATAATGGGGGTAATTTTTCTTTCGTAAAATGGCAATGTATCGATATGATTTTTCAATGGCAAAATGCAATTGGACTGTACGGGCCAGTCTGTACCAGTGACTAATTATATAGTTAAGCTAGGTGACACTTGCTCGATGGCTTCCCTGTTAGATACTGTACTCCTTTTGAAAAATATTAATTGCTACATGTAGTGTTAAGGTGAGATCATGGCACGTCTCTTATCCGTCCTGGACAAATGACCCATTTGACACGGGTAACATTATAATGAAGTAGTTTTTCATTCTTGAAATGGCGATGTATTGACATGATTTTTCAATGGCAAAATGGAATTGAACTGTAACAGTGATTAATTATATAGTTAGGGGACACTTGCTCAATGGCTACCCTCTGTTATATACTGTGCATACTCCTTTTGAAGTAGTTAAAATTGCTACATGTAGTGTTAAGGTGAGATGGCACATCTCTTATCCTATCATTGCATGTGATCAATGCTTATTTGTCTCAACAAAGAGATGGTTTGCGCTCTAGCTAGCTAGCTCATTGACAATTAGATAACGAGTAGCGTAAAGCCAATCAGAATACAGCATTTGCATTAGAACTTGACAACATTTAAAATTACTAAATATATATACTGTATAGACTAATGTGAAAATGAATACTTTTAGGATGACGACCCCATTGTCCATTGATGAAGAAGTGAGGAAATCAACCTATAGCTATCCTTGAATCTTGGCATCAGGTGACATTGCATCCTTGGACCCATTGTACATTACTGCCGTGGGGCAAATTTACTTGCGTTTTGCTGGTAAAAATATTCCACATACTTATTGCTACATTCCATGTTCTAAATATGGAATACACTCCAGGTGTTTCGAGTGTTTATGCATTTCTAGAATTTAGAAGCTGTCACCTTAAACCGCCCTGCTGATGCCGAGAACAAAATTTCTGTACAACAACTTTTAAGTGAGCTTGGACTCTGAAATTAATCGTGATAAATACTTAGTTCATATATAAAATTCATGTATGTTAAAGGTATTTCTTGTCAGCGAGTAATTTATAATAATAACCAATTTTGAACCTATATTTCTCTTTTGTGTGTGTCTTAATGTGCCTGGTTGAAAGTGTTTAATCAACACTTAATCTGGTGTTATTTTAGCACCAGATAGGAAGAGGTGTTGCTTTGGCATTGCCAAATTAGGTGTTATTTTAACGCCACACTATAGGTGTTAAATCAACTCTTAAAACTGGTGTCACTTTAGCACTTAAAAGTGGTGTTAGTTTAACACTATAAACAGGTGTTAAATTAACCCCCAAAACTAGTGCTAATTTAACACTAAAAATGGGTGTTGTTTTAGCACCATAACTAGTGTTATTTTAACACTTTTTTAGTGGTGTTAAAATAGCACCAAAAAGTAGTGTTATTTTTTACCTATTTTTTTAACACCACTTTTGGTGTTATTTTAACACCCTAAAATTAGCAGTGTACAGTTGCGAGACATCCTTACTTCGGCTTTTTGAAGACTGGAAGAAAAGTTTAGATAACAAAGAGACAGTTGCTGTTATATCTATGGACCTGTCGAAAGCCTTTGATGCAATACCACATGCTCTATTATTAGCCAAATTAAAGGCTTATGGATTAGGCGCCAATGCCAGTACATTAATTAGTAGCTACTTATCTGGCAGATTTCAAAGAGTTAAAATTGGTGATGCGTATTCAAAATAGGAAAAGTTTACAAAGGGTGTGCCTCAAGGGAGTGTCTTGGGTCCAATGTTCTTCAACATTTTTCATAATGACTTATTTTACCATATCAACACTATAAAGCTAAATGAATATGCCGACGACGAGCAGCTCTATGACTCTGATAAAGATCCAGTAGCTCTTGAGAAGCTCCTTAAATATGGGGTAAACATTGCGAACACTTGGTACTAGAATAATGGAATGATAGTTAATCCCAATATTAAGCATGAAGCAATAATATTTGGCAAGACAAATCATGTCTTTTCCTTTGCAGTCAAGGAATCGATTGAACTTTTTGGGTTGGTTATGGACAAAGATCTTAGTTTTAATGAACATATTTCTAAGATAAGTAAAAAGATAAACAATCAGTTTAACGTTATGATTCGTTTTAGAAATTTAATTCCAAGGAATATTTATACGACAAAATTATATAAGACATTTAGCTATATCTGTCAAATTAATATTCATTCTGATTAATTAATAACATTTAGTAATAAGCATTTGCACGTAAATATTATGTATATGTTTTGTATCTACTCGAAGATATTAGCTATATTTTATTTTGCTATTCCGTAAATTCGAGTGTAAATAAAGTTTATATATGTATGTATGTGTGTATGTATGTATGCTAGTTCTTACGCATATGCAGAAGTTTTCCCTCCAGTGTTATAATGTGTTCTGAAACCTTAAAGTTTATAGCTGCATTACAAGTATAATAACGAGAGGAAGCTATCATGGGTAAATCGTCATGCATCTTTTTGTTTTTTGAATTGAATTGATTTTTATTTGATTTAGCACCACATTACATAAAGATAACAACACAACAAATATACAAAAAGTTAGAATTTCATGTTGGTGACAAGGAAGGCCAAAACGAATCCACGAAGCGAAAATTTATGATGAAACATAAATTGACCAAGTTGTAGCATACAAATATCATTCAGTTTTAATAAGCCAAGTTTCTTAAATATAGGGCTAGTATGTGCATCAAAAGCGCTTTTATTCAGTATTCTAATTACACGTATCTGCAGTAATTCAATGCGACGAATATTAGTAGGATACGTTAGTCCCCAAACAATAACACAATATTGTAGGTAAGGATAAATCATCAAATAATACAATGTACGTAGAGACTCTAGTGGCAGACAGAAACTAGCTTTATAAATTACACCAATTGATTTTGATATTTTGTTAGCAATTTGGGAAAAATGAGATTTCCAACTCAGATTTTCATCCAGAATAACTCCCAAGAACACAGTTTCCTTGACTTGTTCAATACACTTATTATTAATCAATATAGTTGTATATCTAGGCAGAATTTTTTTTGTCTAGGTTTAAATACCATAAATTTCGTTTTCCCCGTATTAAGCGACAATTTATTTGCTTGAAACCAATCAGACAGTTTTTACAATTCATTATTCAAAGAATCGATTACATATTGCGGGTCTTTATGCGAGAAGAAAATGATTGTATCATCAGCAAATAAAATTGTTTCAACTAGCTGTGACACATTGCAAGTATCATTAATATAAAGTAAAAAAAATAAAGGGCCAAGTATAGAACCCTGAGGCACCCCGCAGCAAACAGCACTAGGAGATGAGCGATGTTCATTAAATTGAACAAATTGGGTTCTATTGGTAAAATAACTTTTTATCCATTGTAATGGCAAGCCACGGATTCCGTAATGTTCCAACTTATCGAATAAAATCTCATGATTGACAGTATCAAAGGCTTTAGATAAATCCAGGAAAATTCCCACAGAAGTTTCTTTTTTGTCAATCGCGTGTGAAATCTTGTCATATAAATCGATCAAAGCAAGTGAAGCTGAATGATTTTTGCGAAATCCGTATTGATTATCATATAATTAATATTTTAAATTTATCGAGATATGCCAATAAACGATTATACATAGCCCTTTCAAGAAACTTTGAAAAACATGGAAGTATAGATACTGGTCTATAATTTGAGAATATTGCAAGATAACCTGCTTTAAATAAGGGAATTACACATGCAATTTTGATATCATCAGGGACAATGCCACTAGCAATGGACAAGTTAAGTAAGTGAGAAAGTGGTTCTGCAATGATATTAATAAACTGTTTAATTATTGACATAGGAATTTTATCATAACCAGCAGTTTTATTTGATTGACTATACTAACAGTAAGTGGAATCTAAGGGCGTATAGAAATCCGAGTTTCTATGAGAAGCGGAGAACGGGGTGTAAGGCGAGGCGGTACGTACCAGTAGTTTAGAGCCCCATATTCATAACGTTGGGAATATAATGGGAAATATTAGATTTTCGGGACATGGTTTTGGAGTTGCCCTTTATTGAAAAAAAAAGAAAGAAAGAAAGAAAGAAAGAAAGCTAGCTCAAGAAAGCTAGCTCATTAGATCACTGGTCAAACCTTTACCTCACTGAAAGAACATATTTGTCAGGTTCAGTCCAACACCCACAAACAAGAAAACTTCCATTCCTTCCTTCTTGGAACAGCATCTTCTCAACTTCCTGTTTAGAAATATGACCGTGGAACCATCTGAAATTATTAACGAACTGGTCAATTCTATAATCAACATTGCTGCGAAGACGTTTGAAGTAATCTAAGACTTACCTCGTTCAGGTTTAGACTTCATATATACTTTGATCAAACAGCTCTTTGTCAAAAGGGAATTTGTAATAATAACTTAAATTGTCCTTTAAATTACATCGATATTGTACGTGTATATGCTTGAATATTTAGCCCTTAATATATATCAAGAGCGATAAATCATAGTTACCCTATAGGATATAAATCTTGTGTTTCAATGAAAGACCGACCATGAAAATGTCTAAAAACCTATTATGTATATGCTGCCTGTGTTTCCAACCTGTAACAAATCCGTTTGTTGTTCACGGTTAATGCCCCATTGATAAATTAATTTATAAATAGTAAAATTTAAACAAATTTTATCGTTATAATGTGTGCCCCCAAAACTATACCCCGTTTGATTTAAAATAGCCGGAAAACTATAGAAGAGCTATAACGGTGAAAGTAACTTTATCGAAAATATTTAATTTGTTCGCTCTGGCTATATTTAATTCTTGCTCTCGAATCGATCATTTCATGTATACACGAGCTGATTGTCGATCAGCTGATTTTCAAATTCATATATAACTTAATTGGTATATTTTTTTGAGCAGGAGTCTACGATCTACCTCAAGGCACCTATAGTGCAAATGTCATATGTCATCATGCAGTTAGATTGGTTAACTATGGTCATATTTCTTTCAATCTTTCTCTTTTGCAGTATCAAATTATGGAACTTACTTCCTGATTATATTCATCACAGTGATTCGACACTTATCTTTTTAAGCAAATTTACGACTGGCAAAACCTTACCTAAACCAATGCGAAACAGTTTTTAATAATATTCTAAAAATATATGCGTGCAGAAGCTTCTATAGCTTTTCCAGCAAAACCACTATATTTCCTAAACAAGAAGTAGTTAATTCATTTACAAGTGGGTGTCGTGGTAACACGATCACTTCATTCTTTTTAAATGATCACTTTTAATCTGCAAAATTATCAATTTTCCAAATATATATATGCGATACTACTAGGTATATGTTATTATGCGTAATATAAACTTCATTTTAATGTAAAACTCAGCCACGTAGCTATACGCTTCACAAAACGTCGGAAACGTTCATAAAACTAAACTGCTTTTTAACGATAAACTTTGAGTTTCAAATAACAACGATTAATAATATGCAATTCTCTCACGAAAATAACTTTGCGAGATCGTTTATGTTTCGAAGACATAGTCCATTCTCATCCAGTCGTGAGTTGGGGACAAAATGAGACAATTTAGTATTAGTTTTAGTGTCCTTAAAAAAATTATACAAGTTGTTGGCGGTTGGCTGTGAGACTATTGCATCCAGTAATGTCTAGTGCTTCACTATATAATCAATTATTCCAAATCTAAAACATCTTTTTAGAAGTCGCTCATTCTAGCTTCTCAGCCAAATTGAGTTTGGAAGGCTAGTGTGCCACACTATACAACCATATTCTCCAATACAGAGCGTACGAGAGCAACATCTACTATTTAAACACGAGTAGGAGTGTTTTATCAGATATAAAACGCGAGGCGCAGCCGAGCGTTTTATGTCTGATAAAACACGACAACGAGAGTTTTGAATAGCTTAAAATACGACTACAAAAGAATACTAATTAGGATGAACCATTATATAATCATATACTAATTAGCAGGGCTGTAAATACTCGTTACAATTGTAACGCGTTACTGTGTACTCGTCACGTAATTAATAGGGACCTTTAGCTAGCGGACGGCGGACGGCTATTAATCCCCAAGCCGACGGCGCGAAGCGCCGTGCGAGGGTACTAATCCCCCCGGCTATTTACACCCGGGGAAACGAAAGCATTAGCGAAGTCTAAAGTTCATCAAATATCGCGGGCGTGGCTCACCAACGATATTTCGGTGGGTGCTCATCCTCACTGATTTCAAAAATATGGCGGACTGTCATGAATAGCGAACACCAATTGGTCCAATTTAAAGTTTGCATTATAACGACTGCATGACGGCAGCGAAATAGCAAACATTTCTTGATTTGATGATTGATAAATTTCTTGCAAATATATTTCACTTTTGCTCGCATTTTTGCAGGATTTTGTAAATTTCAAAAGCTCTCTCAGAAAGAAACTGCAAAAGAATCGGCTAAAAGAAGGGAGCCGACGTTAACAAAGGTAAGTTTGTTTTAAATATTGATTTTATAATGGCTTTAAAACCCGACGGCCTTTGCGTATATGAAACAACTTAGTAAACAAGACAGCAAAGAATTTCAGTGTATCTTTAATATTGATTCCCTAGCTTTTTTATGATATTGAATTTTTTAAATAAAAAACAAAGCAAAGTTATTTGCAAGCGAGAATTTGAAATCATTTTATTGCAAACTCAAAGTTTATCGATAAAGCCATTTTAAAATGCAGATTAGTTTTATAAAGAACACTATAGTGACTTTAAAACGTTTTGTGAAGCGTTTGTGGTTGAATTTTACCTTAAATTGAGGCTTATATTACGTATAATAACATACCTAATTTATATATGTTGGGAAATTAATAATATTGTAATTAAAAGTGATATTTTTAGGCGATTTTTCATTTGTAAGAAACTAAGAATATTCTTAAAAAATTATCGTCTTACCATGACAACTACTTTAGATACTTCATGTTCGGAAAATACAATAGGCCGTATTCTTTGGCCTCAAAAGTCGCCTAGAAAAATATTTCCGCTGCCATCGGTCTCCATCTAATTTTAATTTATATAAATCTATAAATTTTGACACGCTAAGTATGAATTTCAATGTTGTCACTCGCACAAACCTGCAGTTTTTGAGTATATTGCCACCAAAGTTCGGTATCTTTCACGCTTCGAAACAAGATGGCCGCCATTTTTGCCCTGGATACTTCGTGTAATATATGATGAACGGTACTAGTTTACAGACCCAGTTTAAGCTACATTCACGCGGTCGAACGGAGGGTTATCTTGTTAGCCATCACAAGCGTTTGTTTTATTATTCCGTAAATTGATGTTAATAAAATGAGAGTAGAAATAAATGAATTAACTTAGTTAACCTTTTATGAAAGGCCTCTGCGGCCAAGAGTAGCATTTAAGGTGGCTCCCTATAAACGTTCCTGGAGGCATGTGTATCTAGGTATATCAATTGGCTACCCCACCTTAGAAAGATTCCCCGCACGTGCTGAGAAGCTAAATAGAAAAAATGTTTTACAATACATAATAATATAGTATAATACTATAATAAGAATCAGGGCCGTAGCTAGCATGTGTAGTTTGGGGGGGGGGTGGGTGTAGGCCAAAAATTTCCGATTGACGAGAAAAATTTCCGAATATTTCATGGCCTACGAATTAGCCACGAAGGTGTTTGCTATCCGGAAAATGAAGACGCTATTTACAAACAAAAATACGCATATTTTACGCACAAACATATTACAGAAGCATGCAGTGCCGTAGGAAGCTCTTTTTGATTGGGGGGCTGAGAACGAGGGCCGAAGGCCTGAGAAAATTTTTAAATTTAGAGTTTCTGAAATGCCATTTCCTGGACTTTGGGGGAAGTTTTGACAGAATTCAAATGGCCAGAAAACAGCGCTTTAGTATGTCGAAATTTACAATTTGCTTACAATTTAGTAGTACTAAATGGGCGAAGGTGTATTTAATTAACTATATATTGGGAAGTTGCAGGAAAGTATGGATAATATGATTCTTCGCAGTTTGTCATGGATAATGTAACCGCTTAAAATTAATCAATTGTCATTATTATTCATCTCCTGTTTTACAATAAAATATTATGATCATAAAGCAAACTCAAAACTTGCATATGCAACTGTGCATTCACTTCCAGATTCACTTAGAAATTATAATTCATAGGGAGCTCAGCCCTCTGCTACTACTGAAAAGTTAGGGGGGCTCAAGTCCCCGCTGCCCCGTGGTTTTTACGGCCATGTCATAAACCTCTTTCAGTGTAGTCACCTTTTCGTGGTTCTTTAACAACGGGTAATCCAAGACTTCATCTTCACTCTCCATCTCACTTTGCGACGTTTCACTTTCTTCATTTAAGTAATATTCCGCCACGACACCTTGACAGATACTTTGAGCATAGATGATATCTCACTTCTGTTGCGTTCATTACGGTGTCTGGAAAACCAGCTGGGAAAATCTTTTTATCAACCTCTCCTTCAAGCGAAATCTCCTATAGCCCGATGCATCGCAGTTCTCGATTGTCGCAACAGTTCTGACGAATTCCGCTTCAAATTTCTTCATGTAGTAAATCTCCTCGTTGTCAATTAATTTTTCTTTCACAAACCGTTCACAAAAAAAGTTAAAGGATTCCTCGTATTTGCACTTAGCACGAACTTCATCATCGTCTTCTGTTACATCGGTGCGTCTTACAAATTTTGTGTATCGTTGATAACACCGTCTGTGGTAGTTTACTTCTAATGCCGCGCAGTCCTTGTCAGCAATTTGTAAAAGGATACTTTCGTCCCCAAAAGGATACTTTCGTCTCGTAGCTGCTTCTCTCAATCTTCCCCCGTCAATGGTTTCTGCACTCACCAACCGTTCTTCCTTTCGTTTTCGAGAGTTCTATCAAATAGGTAAAAATCATCGTTACCATGTTCATTATGCTTAACATGCTTATCAGTATAAATACGTTTACTTACTGTTCCAGTCACAAGAGACTTTTTCTTACAAATGATGCAAACAGGAGCCAACACATATTTTGATTTTGTTTTACTTGATGCGTTTACTGTTGATCGTAATAATTTCTTTGACGGTTCGGATGCGTGGGTCGTATCTAAATTAAAAAAGCTCAATCAGAACATTATATAAGTATTAATGGAAACTTTATTTAATTTTCTAAACTTACAACTGCAAATCTCACTATATCAGGTAATTTACAATTGGCAACTTGATATATTACTATTAAATGATTTTATAACACACGATTAAATTTACTCTATTACTCTAAATACATACTTATACAATAAAAATTTTAAAGTTTCATCAAGTCCGGATTCACCCAGTTCTTATTTCGACAACAAAAAATGTAGTAGGTTGACCTTATTGCAATATTAATAATCATTTTAATAACGTATATTACATGAGCTTTATCTAAATTAAAATGTTCTAACATGTCTATAAAACCAGAAGATTCCTTGTCAAACACACCTTTTTTCTTTTGTTCCATAATCATATCTTTATACTTGGAGTATTTCCTGTTAACGTTATTTCTGAGGTTAGTCTCATATCCAACGGTTAATTCCAGAATATACAGACAATTGTCTTTCGTCAAAATTAGTAAATCAGGCCGATAATCATCACCAGTGATTGTAGAAAGATTAGAGAATGACGACAATGTATCAGCATAAATGGTCCGGATATGTTCTGATGGAAGGTTATCAGCAATGAAATTTAGAATTGAGTCATGTCTCCAAGTAATAATCGATCGAGGTAGGAACTGCAACCAGCGACGACGTGTAATAGAGATTCAGGATTAATGCAGAACGAGCATTCAGAAGACGAGGATAGCCCCCATCTTTGAAGGTTCTTACGGATTGGCAGCGAATTGTTTATATAACGAATGGTAAAGTTGAAAATGTTTTTAGGCAATTTGGACTGACAGGCTTGCCAGATCGTATTTACTTGGGTTAAGGAAAATCTTAATACACTGGTAAAGAATGAGCCTTGGTATGTTAGTTGGTTTGTTAATTTATCTTCTTGAACATCACGAAATGACTTAATCACTTCCTTCGTCGAACTGTATTGGTCGTATTGAATATTAGCATGATTAGTTGTTGACTTCCAGAGATGGATTATTGATTCATTAGGAGATGATTTTAAAGTATTCCGAATTGTTACCTGGCATTGTAAAAACTTAGTTGATGGGAGGGGGGGGGGTGATGTTAAGACCAAATTTGTCGCTGGTTATGTAGATGTTACTCAGCGTTCCAGAAATAGGTACCTCAAGCCATTTGCGAACATATTGCGTAAATAAAGAATCCAGGTTTTCCAAAATCCAGGTTTTTGAAATTGATGTAATAGTAAGATGCCAGGAGAGTTTCGATAAAACATAACGATTGTAGAATCTTGTTCTATTAATATTAATAATAATAATAATAATGGAAATTTGTTTAATATATAGTTGTGTAATAATAGAGACAATGGTAATGGCAATGATAATAATAATACCTACTTACCAGAGGTTGCAGTTGCCTCATCATCTAAAGACTCTAAATGTTTTGAGTCATCTGATCTTATAGTACCAGCTGTGCCTTCCCGGACCGAATTATGGCTCTTTCTATTGACGTTTTGTTTGTGAATTTCGAATAACATCATCTGTGGTAACCAACTGCTGAATTTTGCCATTCTTTATCGTCAAATCATGCTGTATTCTCTGCTACCTCTTTTTACTTTCCATCCAATGTCTTCTAAATTTCTCTACATTCTAAAACTCGTTTGTATGCATACTCTGTAAAGCGTGCAAGCAGAGCCGTGCCAAGTGTTTTTTGGTTAGGGTGGGGGCATGGGCGTACCGGAAGGAAAAAATTAAGGGGGCGGAAAGAAATTTGCCCGACTTTTTCGGATTGTGCCCAACCAGTGCCGAAAAATATTTTTTCCGGAACAATTAATTTTGGCGACCTCCCCCCCCCCCAAGTCGCCAAAAAAATTTCGGCCAGTGTACCATTTTAGGGATCCAAAAATTTTTCGGACATACCAAAATTTTTCGGAACATCAAACAAATTTTCCAAACATCACAAAATTGACATAATTTCCCGCAAAATTGACAGAATTTGTCCCATTTATTTTTAGAATAACCCAATATTGCCCGACTGTGAAGCGAATATTGCCCTACTGGCTTTGTTTGCCCAACAAACTGGGGTTATTATTAAGAGAGATATTATTGCTTTGACTACTTTTTTGGCTTTTTAATTTCCCACTCTTCGCCCGACTTATGTTGAACATTTGCCCGACTTTTCGACTTTGTAATCTTTTTTGGGGGGGGGCAGCCGTCCCCCCCGTCCCGTACGCCTATGGGCGGGGGTGAAATAAAAAATTTGGGCCCCCTCCAATTTGGGGTCCCCCTCAAAAAAATCTTTCCAGAAACCGACGAATTTTTCCGGAAAATACTGGGGAGGCGAGGAGGCCCCAAAATTTTTTTCAAACACTAGGTTTACATAATGGGGGCTTAAATTTAGTTTTGAAGACCTTTTTAGACCAATTTTCCAGAAAATTCCTTAATATTTAACACGTTCCGCTTTCCAGTGCCCTGTCTCCGCAATTTGAGCCCCCTTTTTTACTTTTCTTTGGGGGAGGAGTGATACCCCCCACCCCACCCCCAGGTGGCACGGCCCTGTGTGCAAGCTGTCCACTTTCTCCATCGAAATGAATCAAACAAAAGAGGCCATGCTTGGCTGTAACATTTCTTCTACCTTGTACTTCATGTAAAATAAAAATATAATGCTCGAAGTGCACGGGAAAAGACTTGAACTAGTACCGTTCATCATATATTACACGAAGTACCCAGGGCAAAAATGGCGGCTATCTTGTTTCGAAGCCGTGAAAGATACTGAACTTTGGTGGCAATATACTCAAAAACTGCAGGTTTGTGTGAGTGACAACATTGAAATTCATACTTAGCGTGTCAAAATCTATAGATTTATATAAATTTAAATTAGATGGAGACTCATGGCAGCGGAACTGAAAGATATTTGCCCACAGAATACGGCCTACAATAGTTTTGTCAACAAGGCGAGGGTTTCTGCATGCATGTATTTTCTAGTACGATGAAATTTATGACAGTGTAGAAAGAAAATGCATAATTAAAGTCCCATGTTCCATGAGTTTTAGACGCCGTCCTTGCTCTTTTACGTTTACAACAGCAAACCAAAAATTTTCACGTTTTGTACACAACGTCTGCCTTTCAAGCCGCGAGAAGTCGTCCTTGCCAAATTGGCTTAGTATAGAAGTCTTCTCAACTATAATTATATGAACCTCTGTCTTAACCTTCTTAAATTGCAATAAATTCATACAACGGATAATACAAGACATATTGATCTTAAAGTTACTTATTCGAACGAGTTTATTTCGGCCGTCGTCGTCGCGTAATTTTGCCGTCACCTATTTGCTAAAGGTCCCTAATTACAAAAGCAAGGAACGCGTTCCTTTTCCAAGGAGCAAATTGAAAATTTCTTTTCTTATTCTGTTAAAAATAAGAAATAAAAAATACAACGTTACGACAAAAATTTAGAAAAATGGCTGAAATAATTTTCAACGAGATCACATGACATGATAGCCTACATGAAGTACTATTTATTACGAAAGTAGAACCACAATTTGTTCCGAGGCTCAGAGCGCGAAATTTTGACAAATAAAGTTTTAAGTTTACTTGCTTCGATTTGCATGTCAAATGTTTAATATATTGAAATATCATCTTGATAAATTCTTGCAAATTTCAAAGTTTATACCGTTTTTATTTACAACTACTGTTTAAGGTATTGTCTTATAACATATATATAGTAACAATTTGTCGGTAAAGGAATTTGTAATTAATTCCTTTTTTCCGGAATTTGTAATCCGGAATTTATTAATAAAAAGCAACTTGCTTTCCTTGACATTTTGTTAACAAGAACTGATGACGGCACGATTAACACACAGGTTTACCGTAAGAAAACGCACACTGACCAAATACTGAATTTTAACAGCAACCACCCTACTCAACACAAAATAAGCTGTATAAGAAGCTTATTCAACCGAATAGATACGCACTGTAACGCAGAACAAGCTAAACAAACAGAACGCAAATATCTATTCTCGTCTTTCATGAAAAACAACTACCCTAGGAAATTCGTTAACAAAATACTAAGAAAAATAGCTACGTAACAAACAACAGAGTAACATACCTGACGAACAACCTGAACAATCAAAGACAAGAATAACTCTACCATTTAACTTTGAATAAACAGATTTTAGTGCTCGGTGACTTAAATTGTAACATGCTAGAAAACGGCCAAGAGCGGAGAGCGCTAACAAATTTTTCTACAGAATTAAATCTCACACAGATTATTAAAACTTCAACTAGAATCACGGCGACGTCCCAAACGCTTATTGATGTTATTCTAGTCTCATCCACAGCACTTGTTCTTGAGAGTGGTGTTATTAACACTTCTATCAGTGACCACCTACCAGTGTACGTCCTACTAAAGTTAAAGGCCCCAAAGATGCCAGCATGTTACATTACAACTAGGAGTTATAAAAACTATAATCCCTCACTATTTTCCTCTGACCTTGTCACTAAATCGGATCGTCTGTTATCCATATTATCCAACACCAACGTTAATACAATATTCGAAACCTTCAAAGATGTTCTTCACTCAACTCTCGACGTGCATGCACCGTTAAAAACCTTCAAAATTCGAAATCGATCATGTCCATATGTCACCAATGAAATAAAAGAACTCATGAAGTCTCGGGACCTACACCTCCGTCGGTTTCAACTGACACGTGATGAAGTTGATTGGGTAGTTTACAAAGAATATCGTAATAACGTAAAAACCAAAATTAAAGCCGCAGCGAAGGACCACACCTTCAACGAAGTAAGAGAACATAAACACAATTCGAGATCCCTATGGAAAATAATTAATAATATAATCCCTCGAAGGAAAAGGAAACACACGTTTATAGTAAAGATCCAAAAACAGTTGCAGAAGATTTCAACCTTTTTTTTACTTCTGTGGGACGGAACGCTGCTGCGACAGCCGAAAGTTTAGCCAAAGACAACAATGTTCCACTGTCAAATCCTCTGTCAAATGTAATCACTTATCCATCTGATCAACTGTTCAATTTCCAATCCGTTACTTGTACAGAAGTTCAACGCATTATCATGACTATGCCAAGTAATAAGTCACCAGGACCAGATAAAATAGGAATGCGTGTCATCAAAGACTGTCTTCCAATCATACTGGGTCCTCGTACGCATATGATAAATTGCTCTCTAATGACAAGCACATTCCCTGACCTATGGAAGATTTCTGAAGTTATACCCCTACTAAAAGAAGGAGACCACGAGATAGCCTCAAACAATCGGCCTCTCTCACTACTCGAGGTAGTTTCAAAAGTTTGTGAAAAAGTTGTTCTAAATCAATTTAGCTCCTACCTCAAAGAATTTAATCGCATATCGTCACATCAAAGCGGGAATAGGAGTCTTCACTCCACCGAAACCTTAAACATATTTGTTACCGATACGATGTTGGAAGCCATAGACAACAAAAATCTAACGGCACTAATTTTATTGGATTTATCCAAGGCATTTGACAGTGTCAGTCATTCGATTTTATTACACAAATTGAGTTGTATCGGTGCTTCACCCGAAGCTGTTGAATATTTCCAAGACTATTTAACAGGCAGATCCCAATACGTGCGTATTGGATCCACCAAGTCATCAGCTCGCCCAATAATCCATGGCGTTCCACAAGGTGCAATACTATCACCACTTCTGTTTTGCATCTATATTAATGATCTGCCAGGGAGCATACAATCGTGTAACCTTGATTCATACGTAGACGACTCAAAGCTTTACAAATCATTCTGCATCTACGACTTGGAACTGACAACTATTAATTTAGAGGCAGATCTACAAATAGCAGCCAAGTGGTGTTTGGAGCACCAATTACTGATCAATCCAGAAAAAACTAAATTCCTTGTAGTCGGTTCAAGACCCATGCTGCAGAACGTACCTACAGAAATATCGCTAACATTTTTAGGAAAGACTATAAGACCTGTTTTATTAGCTAAAGATTTGGGAATCAATTTGGATTCGTACCTATCCTACGACGACCACATATCTAAACTCGTTTCGTCGTGTATGAGAAAACTATGTCAAATAAATCGCGTGAAGGATAGTTTCGATAATGAAACATTAAAATTGGTCATTGAGACACTTGTAATTAACAAGCTTCTGTACTGCTCTACGGTGTGGTCCAACACGTCATCTAACAATACCAATAAACTTCAATCAGTGCAGAACTTCGCGTGCAGAGTTATATCAGGGGTAGGAAAGTTCGATCACATAACTCCGGCGTTGCGCGAACTAAATTGGTTGCCAGTGGAAAAGTTATTATTGGAAAGGGATACTGTAATGGCTTACAAGTGTTTTAATGGACTTGCACCTGACTACCTAGTAGATAATTTTATAAAGCGTTCCGACATACATGATCGATCGACAAGAAATCATGACCTCTTGGACATCCCTCTGTATAAATCTGCTGCAGGTCAAAGAACATTTAATTACCGGGGTGTTAAAATATGAAATGACTTGGATGATAAACTAAAAAATATTACATCAATAACAATTTTTAAGAAGAAACTTAGGGAGATTTTACTAAAAGAATCCTATTAAATACATTTAATATTTCATACTCTTTGTACATATTTTAACTAATTTTAAATAAGTATATGTAACATAGGTAGTTTTAGAAGTAATTTATAATAATCTTAATATGTAATGTAGTGTTGAAAAGCCCTTAGGGGAACACGCAATAAAGTATCTATCTATCTATCTAAACAGTACATGTGAAATGACCGCCAGATTATTGGAATTTGCGACCTTTCAACATTGACGTAGCACACAAACCGGCACATAAACTTAGGTCATATTTCACAAAACACAAAGACAAAACTGCATCAAAACAAAAAATGCTATATACATGATATCTTGCAGAGACTGTCCACAACAATACATAGGTATGACAATTGAAACACGAATAACTGAACACAAAAACGCCATAAAACGATACGATTATAAATCACTACCTGCAGCACACACATACGACAACTGTCATACCTTCAACTGGACAGAAACCGAACTATTAGGACGAGCACAAACAAAACACGCACGTGAATTTAAAGAGGCATGGTACAGTATAGACGGTAATACAATTAACCGACACGTTGAAATTCCCACTGTTTACTTACAACTTAAAACAACACGTAAATGTCCTCCTACTAATAACAACGATACTATGACTAATACTAACTTCCAAATAACACTTCCTTCAACATCCGCAACACAACAATCCGATCTATATATATTATATATTATATATTATATATATATATATATTATATATTATATATTATATATATATATATATTATATTATATATTATATATTATATATATATATATTATATATATATATATTATATATATATATATATTATATTATATTATATATATATATATATATATATATATATATATATATATATATATATATATATATATATATATATATATATATATATATATATATATATACATTTACTGAGCTATCGGTGTTTTAAATCGAATAAGCATATTTGACAATGTTAAATATTTGTATAAAATTGACTATCAAATATTATTTGGTTAAACTTGATAAAAGTTTTATTTTGGCCAAAAGAACGAATGAAAAACATAATTGTTGGATAAACATTTATTCATCAGAGAAAGTATGTCCTCTTGCACGTATACAATGTCTTAAATAAAACCATTAAATATCTTTTCTTAATCGAGGCATGTTTAAAAGGCGAATGCATAATTGAAGACCAACTTTATAACGACGAACTCCCAAAAGACGTCAAATATGTTTTCGAACGTTTTTACATGTTTCATGTTTATTTCACTTCCCAAGAAACACGAATGGCTAACCTACTAGGGCATTACCTGAAATTAAAGTTAAGTTGAAATGCTAAACTGATTGAAATTGTTAATTTTTGCCCAAAATGACAATTGTTTTCATATAAATTTGATCAGCCGTGTTTCCTGATTTTTTGCTCATTTTTAAAGCGTGCGCCAAATTCAAACATTTGAATCTCACGTAATATTAGGCCAACACGACATTTTTAGGGCTGTATATCAAAATTTACGTTAGCCTTTCCTCAATACAATAAAAGTTAGTTGAGTGTAACAGCTTTTATAGTTTTTACGTTGCATGAAATCAAACAGCGCAAGTTTTTTTTGGGACACCCGATATATATAACTATATATTGGCTGCTCGTCTCATTAGACATTACACATTAAACAATTATTCTAGTTTCTCGTGGATGTTTTTTTTTCAGATCCCACTCATTCCACTACTCCTGAAAATGGACATACTTCTGAGATCACAGGGAGGTCCACGATGAACTTTAGGCAGCGTTTACACTGTACCGTTTTCGTAGCGTTCTCGTATTGTTCTTAATCCTCAAGGGAACGCAAGACAATAGTCTAGTTCTCTCGAACAATACGAGAACGCTACGTAAACGGTACAGTGTAAACGCTGCCTTAGACTTCACTAATGCTTTAATTTCCCCAGGTGTAAAGAGCCGTGCGGAATTAGTACTCTCGCCACGGGCTTACGCCGGCTCGGGGATTAAATGTTATTATTGGCACAATAATGGAAGTTAACAGAGAATTAAGAGGCGCTAGCTAACGTCACTTGCTACGGTTATTTGAATATGTAGATTGTTCAATATATGAATATATTAAATAAAAACAACGTGGTTCTGGCTTCATTCGCATAGTGCTTTTTCCCGAAGTTAGTTTCAGTGTAATTCTCTGAAAATTTCAACATGAAATGCCCGAACAAGTTAACTAGCTACTCACTACATCAACGAGCATTCCTGTGGTTCAGTCAGTAAGTCAACAGTGTCTAATCCATGCAGCTGTTATTTCCTCGGCAGTTCGGGGTTGTTGTCGCCTGCATCGCGTTCGCTAGTGTTGCCTGCCATGCATTCACACTATTTGGCTGTGGTGTCTTCCTCGTCAGCCTCGAGTCCCCCTTCCTTTCCTCAGAATGTTATGGCACCATCTACGAGTCCATTTACTCTACGTTTACCGGCTTCATCAGCTCAGCATGGTGGCCATCCGTCGGCATATGTCAATTCGCCGTATTTTTATTCGCTATGTGCATATCTTCGTCCGTCCCAGTGATCGATTCACATTAAGGTTTGCTATATTCACAGTCCGTTTGTGTTCGCAATGATTCGCTATTTGCATGTATTGTTCTTCGCAGGGATTCGCATTTACAGATAGATAAGTAGATGTTTTAATCATGCCAACATTGCAGCATATAGGCTAGGCGGAATTGCATTTATGTGTACATGCAAATGTTTAGATTAAGTTCGCATTGTTCAACAATTGCTTTGTTTATTAAGCTAATAATTCTTCTACTGTCCAAAAAAGATAGTTAGATTTTCTGAAATTCAAAAATTGGCTCGCTATATTCGCATGTTTTTGTTCTTCGCCGTTATCGCATTAATGTTATTTGCTTTACTTTGAATTGAGTTGCTCTTGCACTATTTTCAACACTGATTACAATGACTAAGATGTTGTACTATTTACAAGTTCTAAAAAATAAGGTAAAAAAATAAGACCTTTGACTTTGTATCAAGCATTAACCTGACAATTCTCTATACTTAGTCTTAGCTCTATATTGTTCTAGCATGCTTCGCGTCATGCAGGTCGTTTTTTAAAAGTTTCGTACAATTTTCACTTTTTGTACTTAATGTCCAGATCGTTCCAGAGTATAACTCCTCCATAATGGAAAGACTTTTGACCAGCAGAAGTTTTATACAGTGGTCTTTGCATTGAGTTTTGCTGTGCTGGCAGGCCCGCATCGTTTATGAATTTCAGAACGTTACGTGAATAACTCGCTCACGCCAGCCTGTAGCTAGTCCCGGGCTGTCGCGCTGACCGCTGCTTTGATATGTGTTATCAGTAAGTTTTATGCCCGCCCTGGGTGTGCTGTTCCGAGCGCTTCAAGTTGAGTTCTCGTAGCCTTGCCGAAATATGGTCGAATTTTCCAATATTTGTTATTATCTTGCACGGAACAATTGTCGTTTCTTCATTATGAGCAGACGAAGTGTTTACCCACGCCATTGAACAATCAAACATTTCTTTTTCATTACAATTGCTGAGACAATCAGATGACTGCGTTCTTCACAGTGATTCGCATTGATGTTATATTCGCATTCCGTCGGTGTTCGCCTTGAATCAATATCGCTATTCGCATGTTGTCGTTCTTCGCAGTTATTCGCATTTCCCCATGTTATACATCCATACATACTTACATACACGCATACATACACACATAGAACAAGTTATTTATGCACGCTGGCCTCAACAACTCAGAGCTGATTCCACGAGGGGCGTGATTTTAGAAGGACATCCTGCACAGATAAAAATTACTAGATTATTCAACATACAAAAACAAAGAAAGAAGAATTACTATTTACTGTATAGGCAACAGGACGAGCCAATTTTCAGTATTTGCCTGATAAATAGTTCTTTTTAAATTGAAAGAACAAAAAGATTCCGCTACTTTTACCTCATACGATAAATTATTCCATACTACCGCTTCGTTCAAAACACTCAAAGGTGACACACCTACCTATCTACAAAATCTTTTTTCAGTTCGTGGCTCAGAATATAATCTTAGGAACTTTGAAATGAAATTAAATCTACCCAAGCCACGAACTAATTATCTGAAGCGAAGCTTTCAGTACAGTGTAGCAGTGCTGTGGAATAGCCTTCCCGAAAATATAAGAATGCTCCAATCGTTTGCTCAGTTCCGGAAAGCTGTAAACAAGTATTATAATAGTTTAGATGAACTCCCACACGGCAATCTTGTAAACCAGTAGATCATATTCCTTTATTTATTTTTGCATGCTTAAACTTGTATATATTTATATACTGAAGATTCCACCGTGGATAAATAAATTTTTATTGTATTGTATTGTATTGTATTGTATTGAAGTCTTTTACCAAAATCAGTATTCGGTTTAAGAAGAGACAAATCGGTTTCTCTATTTCTAAGATCATAGGTATTATCCATTCACTATTCAATCGAAAGGATGTACTTAGATTTGGTACATCCATACATACTTCGCATGTCCTCGTTTTTCACAATGATTCGCATTACTATTATATTCCCAGTACGTGCAGTTTCACATTGATTCGTGATTCGCATATCCTTTTGTTCTTCGCAATGATTCGATTAATGTTATATTCGCATTAATTACGTCGTTGTCGCATTGCTTCGTTATTCGCATGTATTCGTCTTCGCAGTTATTCGCGTCTAATGTTATATTCGCATTACGTCGGTTTCGTATTGATTCGTTATTCGCAGTCCATCGTTTGATTCGCCGATTGAGTCGTTATTCGCATGCATTCTTCGCCTCCCGTCATTTTGATTCGTGAGTCGCATTCGCTATTCGCATTGATTTGTTATTTGCATTCGCTATTC